TACAGACCTCGCTTAATGAACACTAGTTAACGAATTTTATTTAACTAACTCTATATGATTCTAATTGCTAATTCAAAAAATGTTAATTGAATCTCATTAAACCCACTTAACATAAGTCATTGTAATTGACAGGCACAACTAGCTTTCTTTTAGTATCGTCCGCCAATACATTAATCGGTTCTAGGCTTAAATTCCATTATTTTGAAATATCAAGAAGTTTATACTATCTGCACTTGTTTATTTATTCAATTTTTAGTCATTTTAATACCATGCTGAACAAAATTGGAATAAGTATTAGTTTATCATGCCACATCCAGCTCCTTAACACAGCAAATGGTGTCAGTCTCTCTGTTTTTCAGTGGCGTACATCTGCTTGAGACTCTTCAACTAAACGCTTTTTCTGTGTTTCCACAAATTATTGGTCATTTTGAAATATTTTATATATTGACAATATATAATGCAGGTGTTGATTTGTTAAAATAATCTTATCAAACGAGATAAAATTTTATAAGAATACACCATGGGGTGACTTCTCTTCCAATCTCTAATGCCTTCTTCCTCTCCACCTCATTCTAAATCCCATCATCATCAATATCAATTCCGTGTTTCTACATACAGCCACCAAGGAACCACCATTTTGCTGAATTGAGAAATTTTCTTGGTGAAATTGAATTACCCAAAAACCCATTGAAACAATGGTTTCTGTTAACGAACGTTTCGGTTAACGAACGACCTTCTGGAACGGATTGAGTTCGTTAACCGAGGGGCCACTGTACTGTAAAAAAATTAATACCGCCTTGCACAAAGAAGCTGCATTACTAGTGAGTGGTAAACAACAGTCGGAGCTTGACAGGCCTTTTTTTTTCACTCATCTGGAACAGGAACTGGAGAAAAACTTTCAGGTTTCTTACAGCATTTTTGCATCCCCATTCAACATGGGCAAGAGAGCAAGTGATGGTAGTGTTGTTTCAAAAGCTAATAGAAAGTGTCTAAGCTCAGCCGAGAAACTAGATGTGTTAAAACGATATGAAAAAGGTGAGAGGTCTGTGGGTATTATATGGAGCAAGCAATGAATATATTTACTGAAGTGGATCCATTAACAGAACAAAGCATTAAAATTTAAATAAATGCAAATGACCTCTACAGAAAAATTTATAAAGAAAAGAAAGCAGCTGTGCAAGGTTCTTTCGACAGCTTTACGTATTATTCAAAGGCCTAAACCATGAAATTCAGCATCATAAGCAGCTTCAACATCTACTTCAGGTTCAGTAACAGTTTCAGCAACAGCTTTATGAAAAGCTACAGCTTCAGCTAGAGTTGAACCGGTTGACTTCGTCATCTGAGTAAAATCTCGATCAATATTCATTGGCTGTCCTTATGTCTTAGACTTTACCGCCATTGGTGAATAGAATTTTAGTTTTACATTCGTAAATATTATTTAAAACATACAGTATATGAACAGTAAATAAATGTTGCTTTCATATTCATATGTAGAGAAATGACGATATGTTTTCACTTGTACGCACTTACTGTCCATACATTGGCGTTCCCAATCATCTCGCCTTATTTCTTTTCCAGTAATGGTTAGCTAAGCCTAGTGCTCTATTTATTAACATTAAATAACATTACTTAAAACATACATACAGGTATTAAATTTTTTAAACTAAGTTCACTTAAGCTACAACCAGGGTCTTATTTTCTTCAGTTTCTTATGTAGAACCATCGTCACTCACGAAAACAATGCCGTCTTGTCTCCTCTTGTGTGTTTTAATATTCTTCGTATTATTAACGAATTGCAGTGTTCATTTCACATGTATAAACATTAATTCAATCAAATACATATTCAGTAATAACAATAATGATTCTTTTGTACATGGTCTTAAGATAAATGACGCGGTATCCTTAAATGCGCACGTATATGTTGGCATTCCCAATCCATCTCTTTTTTTTCTTTGCCATTAGTGGTTATCTACTTCGATTGTTCCTTTTACTAACATTAAATAACGTTACTTAAAACATATGTATTCATTGTTTTTACATTAAATTTTACTACAGCTACAACCAGGGTCTTCTTTTTTCATTTTCTCGTGTAGAACTATCGTCCTGGACTCCCGGTTGTAAACACAAACGAAAACAATGGCATCCCATCTCCTCTTGTGTGACCATATTATTTATTCATTTATATTGTATAAGGTGCATTCAGAAACATGATTTAAATAATATAGTTTGCAATTTTCATTAATTGTATTGTATTGGGGGGAAAAGAGGGTAAAAAGCCACACAAAAGATATGAAAAGGTCACACTTGGGAACACATATCATTATTATTGCTTTATTTTAATGGTAATTAATGATTCGCGATAAGACGATTCACCTCGCACTGCAATATTGGAGGACACATTAACGTCGTTATTTGAGGCTTTACTGTATATGTGTATGTATGTACAGTACGTATGTACAGTATGCATGTATAATTCTGTATTTTTTTTCTTTCTTTACAGGGAATAGAAACTCACTGCAGGGTTGAAAATGGATATACATCAATAGGCAATGTGCGAAGTGCTACGGATACCAAACCAAAAGATAAGATGGAGTCATTTTTTCTTGGGGAGACTTTAAAATATCTCTATCTGTTATTCATGGAGAATCAGAGTGCATATAGTGTAGACAAATGGGTATTCAACAGTGAAGCTCATCCATTGCCAATATATTCTAACTAGTCTCATACAAGTCACATCATAAACACCCAGTATTTTTATCTTATTTATGCTGCAAATTATGGTAAATGAATGGTTCTTCTTTAGCCTATGAATCATCACCAAGTAACCTGTGAGACATCTGTAGGTGTTACTCAGGATGTTATCTACATTCTTGAGGTAGATACAGTGTCTGATTGGATCAATGCACATCTCTTTGCCCAATCTAACCATGGCATAGGAAACATGCTTCAACCCTGTTTTGTTCACTGTTTCAGAAGATAATGGGTCAGTCGGTACACCAAGATGAATTCTGAACTAGTTCTCTTGACTCAAATCAGACAATATCCTTCACACTTACTTGAATCGCCCTATAGTTTACAGTAAGGTGAATGTATCAATCTTCATGGCATTACTGTACAGGTTTTGGCTCACACACACACACACGGACATGCATGCATGCACACACATGCATGCACTGCACGCACAGAGAGAGAGACCAAAAATGAAAAGGAATAAGTTTTTGTCATTATTTTCAAAATTGATTCCTTAGAAGAAACCAGATCCATTCCTGATGTAAACATTTGAGCCATTGTGTGGTAGCATGCAACCCATGCATTTGTGACATCCCCCACAAAGATGTTACCCACTGCATATAGAATATATTTCATAAAGATAATTTTATTTACTGTATCCATAAATTATAATATGTTAATCAAACTTTGTTCAGTATTCTATTGTTGTATTACTCAAGGTACTCTAAACAGTGGCTGGTGATCGGTTGCATTTCTCATTGTTTACTCAAAGTGGTTTTAGCCTCCTTCTCACCTGCTCGTGTGGGGGAGAAGGGGAATGAGCCTGCTGATGCTGTGGTAACAGCAGCTGCTTCTCGCCTTATGGCATATCAGTAATAAGAACTGCCATCCTCTTGAGTTGGCAATGTAGGTGGAATGCTGTCGGAGCAAACAAGCTCCGCAACATCCACCCAGATTTAGGTGCCTGGGGGTATCAGGGATTGCCATGCCGTATTGACCACGTGAGACTGACTCATGTTTTTTTTAATGCAGATTGCCCCCCCCCCCTCCCCATTGTGATAACTGTCTGATCCAATTGACTGTTCAACACCTCTTGGTGAAGTGCCCCAGTCTCAGAGATCATCGTAGTAAGCACCTCTCCCAGTGCCGGGGGGCAGATGGGTGTTTTTGTCTCTCTTTGGTGCTGGGGGAGTGGGTAGCATGGGAGGGGATGTCCTCTCCTTCGTGGAGGAAGCCGGCCTGCTACAAACGCTCTGAGTTTTATCTATTAATGTTTAAATTGTTTTTACTAAAGCTCTGTGGCATTTACTATTTATATTTTTACCTTTTGCATTATTTGATTTTAGTTTTCTAAGCCTTTATTTTAATTCAACGACATATGACCTAAGCTGTTGCGTCACCAGGGATATAATTACCACAATCAATCAGTCAATTTCTCCTGCCTCCAACATTTCTTGCTTCTTTAATGTAAGTGCTATACATGACAACCTTCATTGTTTTGAAGAATTAATATTTGTTTAATGTATAACATTCTTAGTAGGCTTTTAACTCTTAGTGAGTACAGTCACAACATTTATCTTTAGTATTTGAGATAATTATATTGCAAGGAATAAAGACAATGAATCAGAAATGCTGCTAATATGTTCATTGTACCGCCTGAGGAAGCAACTGTCATCTATAGTCACTTGTGCTTAGTTGTCTCCAAGCTATGGGCTATATTTTGTTTGTCGCTTCTTTTCACACGTTTCTTGATATATAATTGATTTATTTTTACATTCATATTTGGTATAATATAGGTATTTACCCCTTGATTTTAATTTTATGGTTCAATTATTGTAATACTGTATCGTTTTCCATTAATATCAATAATCATAAATAAATTTATTAATAACCGTAAAAGGCACAATAATTTGTTTATAGTTCTGGCAAAGGCAGTCGGGAGTTTATGTTCTGCCTTCCTACACAGATATGATGAGGTTCATTGTCCCTTGAATTATGGGATATTGATGTTTTGTTGTATAATGGTTTGTATGAATATTAACCCTGAGAAGCCCGGGCTTCGTAAGACGTGCTGAACCCTCCACATGGGCATATTTCGGTATTAAAAACTAAAATAATACAAAAATTAATAAATCCAATGTCACCTTATAAATGGGTTAATCGATATAAGAAAAATATCAGATGAATGTACTTAGATTCAACTTTCATTGCAGCATGGTTGAATAGTTGTCTGAAGTGTTGATGAGCAGTGTGGAGTGATTCCTGCGTTTGAGGACAGACGGTTCGACACAGCACTGACCCACATTGTGTTCACAGAAGAGGGTATTAGAAATAAACTGTCCAGGCTAAAGGTCCATAAGAGTCCTGGACCTGACATGGTGCATCCTAGAGTGCTAAGGGAGCTGTGCAACGAGCTTGCAGAGCCCCTGAAGATTCTGTTTTGTAAATGCCTGGATGAACAAATGGTCCCCAGTGAATGGAAAGTGGCTTATGTGAGTCCTATCTTCAAGAAGGGCGATAGGCACTCCACGAACAACTATAGACCGGTGAGCCTGACCAGCATAATATGTAAAGTACTTGAGAGTATTATCAGAGATGCAGCGATGGAACATCTACTACGAAACAACCTTGTAAAAGATTGCCAACACGGTTTTATGCCGGGGCGCTCTTGCTTGACACAATTGCTCAAGGTATTGGATATTTGGACCCATATTCTAGAACGGGGTGGTAATATCGACAATATTTACCTAGATTTTGCCAAGGCTTTCGACAGTGTACCCCACGAAAGGCTGAAAATCAAACTGGAAGGGTACGGAATTCGGGGAAATGTCCTAGCGTGGATAGAAGACTTTCTACATGACCGCAAGCAATGTGTGGTGATTAATGGCACGAAATCGTCATCTGTACCTGTAACAAGTGGGGTACCGCAGGGTAGTGTATTGGGCCCGCTGTTGTTTGTTTGTTTCATAAATGATATGCCTGACGTTGTACACTCCTCCATACAAATGTTTGCCGATGACGCCAAGTTATTTCGGGAAATTAAGAACCAAGCGGACTGTGAAGAGCTGCAGAAGGACCTCTGTGGGCTCCAGGAATGGTCGAAGGAATGGCTGCTGAGATTCAATGTCACGAAGTGTAAGAGGATGCACCTGGGGCGTACCAACGGTAAGGAGGCGTACCATATGTCCCAACGGGATGAAGAAAATGTACTAGTTGAGACTGTGTGTGAGAAGGACCTAGGTGTGTATGTTGACAATGAGCTGAAGTTCTCGGGCCATTGTGAGAAGAAGGTAAATCAGGCAAATAAATTATTGGGTCTTATAAGAAGGTCGTTCAGATATCTAGACGGTCCGTCCCTCGTGACGATCTTCAGGAGTGAAGTGCTTCCCCATCTGGAGTACTGTCACCCCATCTGGTCCCCGAGATATGCTAGGGACTGTCAGTTGGTTGAAAATGTTCAAAGGAGGGCCACCAAGCTGGTGCCTGCACTTCGGCATCTCAGCTACCCTGAGAGATTGGAGCGCCTGAACTTGCCTAGCTTATACTACAGACGGGCAAGGGGGGACCTAGTTGAGGTTTATAAGCATCTCAGGGGGCACTACTCAGTTGAGTGTCCTTACTTGGAGCTGGCGGACGCTCGCCCCACAAGGGGTCACAGCTCAAGATTGAAGAAGCCGCAAGTCCGGAAAACCGTGAGGGCAAACTTTTTCGGAGTGAGGGTTGTAAACTCTTGGAACAATCTACCAGAAAGTGTTGTGACGGCACCGAGTGTGAGCTCTTTCAAGAGAAGACTTGACCAACACTGGAGCGGGTTCAGGTACATTCAGGAGCCGGTGCATGCCCAGTATTTGCCAACAGTGCGTGACAGAGACGTGACCGATCGCCCGGGCGGCTAGCGAGCCGACCTTTTGGTGAAGAATATAAAGGAAAAGAGTCGTGACCGATCGCCCAAGCGGCTAACAAGCCGATCAGTGGCGAAGAGGATAAAAGTAAAAAGTAAAAAGATGAAAGTTGTCTTGTTTGAAGCTACTGCCCCCAGCCCACAGTGAGCGGGAAGTGAAGGTGACATAGACTTACAGCACACAATTCTTACTTGAAGGCACTTTTATATCATATTTTTATCTTATAGCTATTACAAAATATTTCTGTTTTCCTCAAAAGGATTATAAAGTACTGAACAGTAGGAATATTTAGGCAGCACAAAACTTATCATTATTTTCAAATACAGTAAAAGTCCAAAAATCCGGATGCCAGAAATCCGAACCACATGAGAATCCGGACTTTTCGAAAACTCTCAAACTTTTTAAATTTAGCGGGCTTTTGTGTGTATTTGCACATGCGTGAGTGCCACAGCTGCACAGGGACAACAAGTGACCACGCGGTCGCCACTTTAAAACGAGCAATCAAACTGTGACAATGTATGTCATATTATGTCCTACTCTTTCCATTTACCATATATAGCATACTGTACGTATTTACAAGCCCATAATAATGGCTCCTAAAGTAAATAAACTTCGTTGTGTGAAGAGAAAGAAGAACATGTTGAAATTGAGTGACACATTTGAAATAATTAAGAAACTAGAACGTGGTGTGAGCAATACTATTCTAATGGAAACATACGACATTGGAAAGTCTACAATTTATGATATAAAAAAGGCAAAGAATAAAATTCTAGAATTCACAGCTTCTTCTGAGCCGTACAATAAAATTGCTGAAAGAAAAAGTTTACATTGGCCAAAATTAGAAAATCTTGACAAAGTGTTGCACGAATGGTTTTTGTTAAAACGATCAGAAGGTATGGCAATTTCTGGGCCGATGCTTATGCCAAAGCAAAGTCTTTTAAGTAGCAAATGAACACTGAATCAGAGTGCTCATTTAGTGATGGATGGCTTAGGAATTTCAAGACTCGTCATGGTATTAGACAGTTAGATATTGCTGTACCTGTTCATCTCTTCTTTATTCCTCCTTAAATTTGAATTTTAAAAGTACTGCCTGAGAATCCGGAAAATCCGAAAATCCGGACTGACCCAATCCCCAAGCAGTCCGGATTTTTAGTCTTCTACTGTATAAACACTATTTATATGTATGTACTTATACTGAATTTAGTACCTCTTGATTGTGAGGAAGCCATTTTAACATGGAATGCACATGGCAACTCCTTGCACCAATTTGCCATATCTTTGTGCCGCAGTTCACGGTGGCTGGTGGGGAGGGAGTGCCATTGTCTGTATGCCTATCACAGCCTCAACAAACTCGACATCATCTGGGTTCTGTTTCCTCCCTAGCACTGTCTTCATCACCCAATACTATATCAGTGCCACTCAATCAAGCAACTCATGACAAACAGCATTACTGTCAAGCAAATGCCTTTGCTTGGGTGTGAAAGAGTGAGATGGGTTACAGTGAACCCTCACTTTACGCGGTTAATTCAACCCACGGAGGCCCGCGTAAAGTGAGAAACGCATAAAGTGAACAACATAACATATGGGATTAATTGAAATAGAGACCGGCTGACCCCCAAACTCCACTTTTTACGACACAATACCTATGATCTAGTAAAAATAACATCTTAATTTTATGATGGTACATGCACACAATTAATACTTAAGAGAAATAGAGAAATACAGTCGCCAAGTTAATGTCCATTCAAATAATGGACTCAACTCCCTCCCCCTCTTCTCACACTACACTCGCTGGCTCTTCCCTCTCTGAGAAATTATTGGGGGAAACCACTAGATATTAAGGTATAGTAATAAATAATACCTCAAACTAAAATTAGGATAATATAATTGACATTGCTGGATTCCTTGTAAGATCAGGAATATTTTGAATATAAATGTCATATATTTTGCACAAAAGATAACATATTTACTCAGAGTAAACAAAATACTTACATTAGATCTAAAATTTGTATGTCTAATGCAAAATCTATGATGTTTATATTCAAAATGATCATCAAATTGTAAGAATTCCAGCAATGTAAATTATATTCTGGCTGGGTAATTTGTATGAATTTTATGAGCCAAATAAAAAAATTATACTTCACCCTCGTATATGAGTAGATGCACCGCGTAAAGTGGGAATTCCGGTTCTGGCGAGGTACCGCGTAAATATAGAAACGCGTAAAGTGAAACCGCGTAAAGCGAGGGTTCACTGTATAAGAGAGGTCTAAGGATGTGCATCCCTCATAATACCTGGCTGGTAACTGACCATGAGGCATGAGTGTTGAGACTAATGCACATGATTTGAGTTGCCAATTTGACAAATATTCCATACAAAGTCTTTCCTCCCACCTGGACACTCAAAATATGCAGCGAAAATTAGAATGTTCAGGAACATCACCTGGGGTCTCTTTAAGAGAATGTTCAGGAATGTCACTTGGGGTTTTAGGGTTAATTACTGGTGATTACCATATGCTATACAGGTATTTAAAGGAATATTTTTTCTGTTTTGTTTATTTTTGTTTCCGGTATAATGAGAGTAAATTTTTTGTCATCCTTCAGGCTATAAATCATGTCCTAACTGACACACTTCATGGTTAAGTTCACCTCAAATTTTAACTTTCCCTACTAAATAAAACATTTTTCTCTTCTATTTTTCACTTGAACTGGAAGAAGAAGTAGCTGCTTAATGTGTAGATATCTTGGTAAGTGGTGCATGTAGTAAACTTAGGGAAGTTGGTGGAGTAAGAGGAAATACCTGTATCCTTGACTATTAGTGGCCAATGGTTGGGTGACGCTATGACTGCCGCTGGGAAAGTTTTAATGTGTGTTAGTTGTATTGTCATGGTCCTCTTGACATTAGAGGTGAGTACTTCCTGGGGTTTTCTCAGTTGGTTCCTTGGTATATGACTTCCTCCATTCTTTTCCTATCTGATTTGGTATCTTACTGGTCATAAATTGATAGATTTAGGTATAAAATCTAATTATCTGTCCAAAGAATATGTCACTGATGTGAACCCTTCCCTCTCACCTAAGTGGGTATCTTAAAGGCAAAAAATTGTAAAGTTTGTCTGATCTCCAAGTTTATGACAGGGGTGTTTGAGTCTAAACAACCAGTTCAGTGTTCATCCCAGTGTACCTGTTAACTTGCAGACATTCAGAGCAGCCAATGACCCAGGGGCAGAGTAAACTTCAAGTACTGTTTTGCAGTCATACATGGATCCAAATGGACAGTACATTTCCCTCAAGAATCCAGATAGGCTCTTGAACAATGCAGCCACTATCATGAGGTACTCTGGCAAATGTCACAAGTCAATTAATTCCTTCCCACAACTATAAAATGGGATTTCATAAGAAAATTCTTCATTGTTTTTTTCATTAACCCATATAATTCCAATAAAAAATGTCTGCTTTACAACACTATTTAAGTACTAG